AACAGCGGACTAAGACTAGCTATAGGTGCTTTCCGCAGTAGTCCAATTTTAAGCATATATAACATAACTGGAGAACACCTACCCGAGATAAAAAGGATAGACTTAGCTCTAAAATACATGGTTAGAACAGTTAGAGCCAACTTCAACTCACTCACAGAGGAAAATACTGAAATTCACCAAGAACTAAAAGTAAACGGTATTAACACGGCTCAAATAATTTCAAGAGAACCAATGACCCATCCCCCTTGGATAGCTCATTACGCAATAAATACAGAACTAACTTCCCTCCTAAAACCTCAAACTCCTCCCCCAGTATACAGAAGTCACTTTCTCAGTATACTAGAACAATATAAAGACTACCAAAAAGTATACACCGATGCTTCTAAATCCCAAGACGAAGTTGGCTTTTCAATAATATTCCAAAACAGAAATCTATTATTCAAACTTCCAAGCACATGTTCCATATTCTCGGCTGAAGCAATTGCGATACTAGAGGCAATAAAAAGAATAATACATGAAGAGCACTCAAAACATATTATTTTTAGTGACTCCCTAAGTACCCTCAACAGCATCAAAAACCAATTCCATCCCGGCGACATCGCAATAAAAATTCAAAACAAACTAAACGAAGCCTCAACTATGAACAAACAAATCACGCTCATGTGGGTTCCTGGACATGCAGGCATCAAAGGTAACGAGTTAGCCGACCAACAGGCTAAAATTGCCACCCAAAACGCGGAAGTAACATTAATACCAGGGCTAACATACGATGACTTAAAAACCCAGATTAATGAGATGTCCAACGACAAATCGCTTCAGTTATGGAAGCAACAAACTACCAAACTGAACACTATTAAAAGTTCCACTAACCGATGGATTAACAGCTTTCTAAAAAGGAAAGATGAAACAATACTAAACCGCATGCGAATCGGACACACGAGACTAACCCATGGTTATCTAATGGCTAAGGAAGAAACTCCTATATGTGTAGCTTGCGGTGTAAGACTGACCGTGAAACACATATTAACCGAATGCCTCAAGTACGAACAAGACAGACAAAGGATTGGAATTGACGCGACACTTGACACTTCACCAGGACCAGAACCCGAGAACAATGCCAAGATGATCGACTTCCTAAAATCAACTGACTTATATAACTTAATTTAAAAATTACACATTCTCTTTCTTGGCTCTTAACTATTAGAATACGCAAACTTAATGTATACCCATTGTAAATAACTTTTGTTCCACCACATCTGTAACTAATGGCCATAGATGCCGGGTTGTAAAAAAAATTATCAATAAAAAAAAAAAAAAAAATCATAAATAAATATGTGTGTATTATATATATATATTATTTCATATTGTATTCGATACTTAATTATGGTTTAGGATTTTATTAATTTCTTATAAATAGCCGCCCAATAGCAAAAGTAATAGTGTATTATAAAATATACATGTTTATAATCAATAAATTACGTGTACAAAAATGAAATGGTAGCAAAAAACTTGCAACAGTAAAAATAGTTTTTCGTAAAAATCATAACAAAATTGATATATCTATAAATATGCATTTATAAAACTGAATGCGGGAGGGGGGTGTAACCATAGAGTTTACTTTGTTGAGAGATAGAATGTCGGCCAATTTCCAAAGTTATAGGAAAAGGCATGTAGATAAATAAGGCTTAAAAAGAAAATAGTCATTGTTTGAATTTTAAAATTAAAGTAAAATAGCTATAAAATTAAAATGTTTAATTCGTTTTTGATATGATATGCTATTATTTTTATGTATAATTATGCAACAACATAGCTGTTGCATTATTCATACTATTTTATAAATGCATATTCTAATTAAAACGTGTAACATTAGGTATTCAGTAATTCCTTTGTTCAATAAAAGTGTTTTGTTTTATATTACATTATTTTGAATGTATTTTGGAAATGACATTTTAGTATTTTGTTGAAAATGAATATAATAATATACATTTTTGGTGACTAGTGACCACATGTTTTTATCTTCTTAAGTATTATCTAGTTTTATCAACTTTTGCAACTTGAATGGTAAATGGTACTTTTTAAATTATGAATAATTTGTTGAACACTTTGTCTGGTCGATGGCCAGTTTTGAATGAATAGTTCTAAAGTTATTAAAGTTTTTTCATTAAAGACGAGCAGAAGGTGAGGAGTAGGGTTATATTTATCTGTGCGCATTTCTCAACCCTACACACTAACATCTGTCAATAACTATAGAAAAGAAAAATATTAAAATCTGGGAATCGTCTACACCAAAATTTCAGTCAATTATTCTTCATTTTAAAATTCATTTAAGTATAGATTTCAGTGAAGCGCACATTAGGATTTCATATATGTATTTCTCAGATTGGTCATCAAAGGCAATTGTTTTAGATGTTAGAATATACAACTTGTTTTCGGCTTAAAGGTATGTTTCTTGTTTTCGACGTAGTTTTGGTTCAAAAACAAATAATACAAATGCTGTTTTTTGGTAAATAAATAATATTTCAGTAAAGCGTACATTAGGATTTCTTTTATGTATTTCTCAGATTGGTCATCGAAGCCAATTGTTTTGGATATTAGAATATATAACTTGTTTTCGACGTAGGTTTGGTTCAACAACAAATAATACAAAATACGCTGTTGTTTTTTTCTCAAATAAAAAATATTTTTCATGAACGCCTGAAAAAATATTGGATACAAGAATATACAACTTGCTTTCGACTCAGAGGTATGTTTCTTGTTTTAGACATAGGTGGTTTGGTTCAAAAACAAATAATACAAAATGTGCTGTTGTTTTCCTCTTAAATAAATAATATTTTTGTAGAGGATTTCACTGTTCTTTTACACAGATTTAGTCATGAAAGTAAATATTGGATACAAGAATATACAACTTGTTTTCAACTTAATGGTCGGTTTCTTGTTTTTGACGTAGGTAGTTTGGTTGAAAAACAAATAATACAAATGCTGTTTTTTAGTAAATAATTAAAATTTCAGTGAAGCGTACATTAGGATTTTACTGTATGTATTGCCATATTAGTCATCGAAGCTAACTGTTTTGAATATTTGAATATATGACTTGTTTTCGACTTAGGGTTTGGTTCAAAAACAAATAATACAAAATATGTTGTTGTTTATTTCTTAGATAAATAATATTTTTATAGGGGATTTTACTGTAAACCTATAACTACACCGTTTATTGTATTTCTTAATCATTCTCAAGCCGAACTTGACTTATAATAAACGTACTGTATCGTTACTCTGAAACGATATTATCAAAACAAAAACCAATACTAGTAGAATTTTACTACTAGTATTGGTTTTTGTTTTGACAATAGTTACAGGTAAAATTAAATATTATTATGAGTTTTTACAAATGTATTTTTGTGAATGATGTAGTTAAAACCAAATATTCTAAATATGTATATTGTTTAGTCCATTGTGTATTTATCATACTGATATTTTGACGGTTGGTATAGTAAAATTAAGTGACAATTTTTTTTTTGTATTTCAGTCATTAACGCAAAACCCGGTGGTGAGTTTAATTTAGTTTAGTAAGGTACCTCTATTCAATATGTATATTACACTTAATTATTATTAGGTGCTTGTAGATTTTACAATTGTTTAATAAAAATAAAAATAACGCATACTAAAACCAATTTTTATACTTAAATTAGTTATCCATTTTATTCAGTAGTGTAATCCGGAAACTAATATTGGTCGATAAGTAGTTTTGACATTTTATTTTGGCGATTTATAAAATATATAATTTTGTTGGAAAGGGAAGAGGCGCACTTTTTCAATACCACTTTTTTTTTTTAATTTAAGATGTCCTTATAATAAAAAAAAAACTGGTCTGACAAATCTTTATAGTTTGACTAATAGTTTTGATTATCATATTTTTTTTGTATACAATATTGTTTATTTGGCTTATAATAACTTTAACCATTTTCAGGAAAACCACCAGCGACACATACACGGCCAGCAGGTATGTTTACGTTTACAAAATAATAAATAACGTGTAACATAATATTTTTATTTTTTTTAATAAAAATTTTCCAACAAATTGTACTATATACAAGGTAATTTTTTTATCATGAGCCACTCAATATCTCATAGGGTTTAATAAGAAATTAAAATTTTTTTTTTCATATTGTTTTTATATAATGTTATCACAATTTGTTTTTGTTTTTACCTCCCTCCCAACTTAGTTTTTTTGATAGTGACATTTGAAACTTAAATGATAACGTATATATTTTATTACCTTTTTTAAATTGAGAATAATGTACTAACAATTTTGACTGGTCGATAGCCAGTTCCGGATAACTATTTTTAAAGTTAGGATGGGAAGGAAAGTGCGGTTGGGAAATGCGCGCAGATAAACAATATACTACACGCGACCTTTCCTCCTGCCCTAAACTTGAAACTCAATAACATTAAAAATAGTTATCCGAAACTGGTTATCGACCAGTCAAAATTTGTAGCACGTTAATCTCAATTAAAAAGTTAATGAAATGTAGGTATGCGTTACAAATTAAATTTCAAAAGTTGCTATCAAAAAAAGTTGGGAAGGAGGTGAAAGCAAAAAAATTTGTGAAAAGTTAAGATCACATTGTATAAAAACAATATGAAAATAATAATTTTAATTTCTTATTAAACCCTATGAGATATTGAGTGGCTCGTGATAAGAAAATCTCCCTGTATTATACTGTCTACATACGTGGCCAAAAGTAAATCTTATATAATCAGTGTAATCCGGAAACTAAGAATGGTCGACAATAAGAAGTTTTGGTATTTTATTTTGGCGATTTTTAAAATATAAATATATAGTCTGGGATGAGGCACAATTCGTTTTTATAAACTTACAGTAATAAGTCACTCGAAAAATGACCATATTTATTTTGTATTTAATATTGTTTATTTAGTTTGTACATTTTATATTTTATTGTATGGTCCATTTGGCTTATTATAACTTTATTTATTTTCAGTTACACAAACAAGATCCGTCGGTATGTTTACGTTTACAAAATAATAATAAATAAAAATTCACACAATATTCGTAATTATTTTTGCAATATAATATTATTTGTAACCCCAACTAAGTTTTTATTTGGGAGGAAAGATTGAATAGGTATAGGGATGAGGAAGAAAGGGACTTTAATATTAATTTGTTGGCTAACCATTATTTATCGAGACTTAACAGTAAACTAGTACAGTCGAAACCGAGCACAGTAAGATATTACAAAAGTGTGGTCCAGTATATACTATTGACTATATTATGTATTGTAGTATGTAAGATTCTTACTATGTTAGATATTAATCTACTACGCTGTTTCATAATTCTTTGATTTGTATTAATTTTGTTCGGTAGAAGAGGATACGGTAAATGCAACTCCTGGTATGTAACCTTTTTTTATATAGTTTAATCAATATGAGTAATAATAAAGTAAATGTCTTCATGATTTAGCGGCCGTTTGTTTTGGTGGAACGGTTATGTGGTGTTGTTGTCCTTGCTTTTCTTTTATCTGGTTAGCTAGAAGACTGTATGGTATTCAAGAAGAATATATCTATAAAACAATGTGTTGTGGTGATGACTAGATTGAAGATTACTAGATTATAAAGTTAGTATATCGAGTTAATAATAAATATCCTTATACCTTTGTGTTGAACAACTTTTTTTTAAGGAAATGTAGTTTTAAAAAGTCTAATTCCGACATGCTTAAACAATATTTACCATAGTTTAATTTTGACATTAGTGTCGTAAGAATAAATTCAGTTGTTTAATTTGTTATTATTTTTTATTTCAGGAAGTTTCCGTAGGTGTCATAATAATATCCAGTTTCTTTCGAATCCAACTAAATAATTTGTCAAATGTAGTGTACACATTTTTTTCAAAACCAAAATTATATATTTTTAATAAATCATAATAAACATATTTTACTATTCGGCCAATTTTGAAATGTTTTGTTTTTCGTTAATAATTACACCTATTGTTGACTGAAACCTACAGATTTATTTACTCGTTTTACATAGCGATTTTGTGTATTGAAGAGTGTTATAATCAGGTGTCAGGTTAAATTGAGATAAAATTTTATAAAAACAATATTAAAAAAAATGTTTTGATTTCTAATTAAACCCTATGAGATAAAATATTATTTATTTAAGAGAAAAACAACAGCATATTTTGTATTATTGGTTTTTGAGCAGAACCTAAAGTCGAAAACAAGAAACATACCTAAAAGTCAAAAACAAGTTGTATATTCTTATATCCAAAAATCGGGCTTCGATGACTTTGTTTTTAAACCAAACTTTGTTTTTTACCCGAAAACAAAACGTAGCCTATATTTTTGTATCAAAAAACTGTTAACTTAATTGAATACATTAGATATACATTTAACGTATTTTTTTTAATACAAATTTGTATGGATATTCGCAGCTGGTATTCAAAACGTTTGTCTTAGATGACCTAATTATATTAAGAGTTATAAACACATATAACTATTATACATTTAGACCTTATCAAAGTACCTAAAAAGTATAGTTGAAAAAAATAGGTCAATATAAAAAAATGTTTATCGAAAAGATTGCCTTTTTGGTTGCTTATTTCAAAAGTACTACTAACATAAAACTTGATTAATTATACTATACGCAATGTGTATAGTAAATCATTAATATACGTGTATTACATATATATTATAACATATTATATTCTATACTTAATTATGGACTAGGACTTTATTGATTTATTATAAATAGCGGCCCAAAAGCAAAAGTAATAGTGTACTATAAAATATACATGTATATAATCAATAAATTACGTGTACAAAAATGAATTGGTAGCAAAAAACTTGCAAAAGTAAAAATGGTTTTTCGTAAAAATCAAAACAAAATTGATATATCTATAAATATACATTTATAAAACTAAATGCGGGAGGAGGGTTTACTATGTTAGGATTTTACTATGTTGAGAGATGGAATGTCGGCCAATTTCCAAAGTTATAGGAAAAGACATGTAGATAAATAAGGCTTAAAAGAAAATAGTCATCGTTTAAATTTTAAAATTAAAGTTAAGCGGTGGTAAAAAACCTATAAAATTAATATTCTTTAATTAGTTTTTGATATTATAAGCTACATTTTTTATGTATAATTCAGCAACAACATAGCTGTTGCAGTATTCATACAATTTTGTAAATGTACATTGACTAGTAACCACATGTTTATTAATATTACAAATTTTAGCAAAAAATGTTCACTAATTTTGTACAAACGGGTTCACTAAAAAAAATTGATCATAATATACCGTGGGTGATTTTTCAACGCCTTAACATTAGACAACATTAACATTTTTATCTTTTTTAGTATGATCTAGTTTTATTAAGTTTTGCAATTTAAATGGTAAATGGTACTTTTTAAATTATGAATAATTTGTTAAACATTTTATCTGGTCGATAGCCAGTCTTAAATAACTAGTTCTAAATTTTTAATGTTTTTAATTAAGGACGAGGAAAGGGTGAAGAGTAGGGTTATATTTATCTGTGCGCATTTCTCAACCGCACACTAACATCTTGCCTAAATTTTGAACCTATATAACTACTAAAAAGAAAAGTATTAAAACTGGGAATCGTCTACGCGAAGATTTTAGTCAATTATTCTTAATTTTAAAATTCATTTAAGTATAGATTGCAGTGAAGCGCAAATTAAGATTACATATATGTATTTCTCAGATTGTTTATCAAAGGCAATTGTTTTAGATGTTAGAATATACAACTTGTTTTCGACTTAAGGTATGTTTCTTGTTTTCGACGTAGGTTTGGTTCAAAAACAAATATACAAAATATGCTGTTGTTCTTTTCTTAGATCAATAATATTTTTGCAGAGGATTTCACTGTTGTGTTCAGTGTTATAAAGAATTAGTCATGGAAGCCAAGTATTGGATACAAAAATATCCAACTTGTTTTCAACTTAATGGTCTGTTTCTTGTTTTCGACATAGGTGAATTGTTTCAAAAACAAATAATACAAAATATACTATTGTTTTTCTCTTGAATAAATAATATTTTTGTAAAGTATTTCACTGTTGTTTTACACAAATTTAGTCGTGAAAGCAAATATTGGATACAAGAATATACAACTTGTTTTCGACTTAGAGGTATGTTTCTTGTTTTCGACGTAGGTTTGGTTTAAAAACAAATAATACAAATGCGGTTTTTGGTCAATAATTAATATTTCAGTGGAGCGTACATCAGGATTTTACTGTATGTATTGCCACATTAGTCATCGAAGCCAATTGTTTTGGATGTTAGAATATATGACTTGTTTTCGACTTTAAGTTTGGTTAAAGAACAAAAAATAAAAAATATGCTGTTGTTTTTTTCTTAGATAAATAATATTTTTGTAGGGGATTTCACTGTAAACCCATATTACTACACCGTTTATTGTATTTCTTAAACATTCTCAACCCTAACTTGACTTATAATAAACTTACCGTAACGTTTCAGGATTTCTATAAAATTAAAATTGTGTTTACCGTTTAGCTGCAGTGGTGTTTTTAAATATGTCGTTTAAAATAAATTTTACCAGAACTTTACTAGTAGTATTGTATTTTGTTTTGACAATAGTTACAGGTAAAATTATATATTATTATGAATTTTTACAAATATATGTTTGTGAATGATGTAGTAAAAACAATTTTTTTTTTATTTAGTCCAATGTATATATTTATTATATTGAAATTTTGATGGTCGGTATGGTAAAATTAAGTTAACATTTTTTTTTTGTATTTCAGTTATAAACGCAAGACCCAGTGGTGAGTTTATTTTAGTTTAATAAGGTACCTCTATTCAATATGTATATTACACTTAATTAAAAATAAAATTATTTGTTTGCAGGTTCTGGGCAAAACCTTGACGGTATGTATAAATATTTAGTTTTTTTTCATTTTTTTATTAATTATTAGTAGGTGCTTGTAGATTTTACAATTATTTTATATACATTTTTATTTAAGAGTTACTTATAAACAAAAAATGCTGGCTGATAAATCTTTATAGTTTGACTAATAGTTTTGATAATCATATTTTTTTCTATATGATATTGTTTATTTGGCTTTAATCATTTTCAGGAACACCACCCGCAACACAGACACCGTCAGCAAGTATGTTTACGTTGACAAAATAATAAATCAAAATTCACAGTTACATGCATGTAATAAAAAACAATATTTGTATGAAGGTCCTGAGCATAAATAAAAATAACGCATAATAAAATCAATTTTTACAATTAAATTATTTGTCCATTTTGTTCAGTAGTGTAATCCGGAAACTAATATTGGTCGATAAGTAGTTTCGAAATTTAATTTTGGCGATTTATAAAATATATAAATCTGTTGGCAAGGGAAGAGGCGCACTTCTTCAAGACTACTTTCTTTATTTAACAGTTCCAGTTGAAATAAAAAAAAGACGTTCTGAAAAATCTTTATAGTTTGACTTACAATTTTGATTATCATATTTTTTTCTATATAAAATTGATACATTTAATTTGCTTATTGTAACTTAAATAATTTTCAGGTACGCCGTCAGCAACACAGACACGCTCAGCAGGTATGTTTACGTTTACAAAATAATAAATCAAAATTCACAGTTTTGATAACACAACGCCAAAAAGTTTTTATTTGGGATTAAAGATTAAATAGGTATAGTGATAAGCAAGAAAGGGACTTTAATATTAATTTGTCGGTCAACCGTTATTTGTCGAGACTTAACAGCAATAACTAGTACAGTCGAAACCAAGCATAGTAAAAAATGACAAAAGTCTGGTACAGTATAACCTGTGTTTTTATAGGAACTTTGCCACTATTATGACTTACTATATTATGAGATATTGAGTGGCACGTGGTAAGAGAATCTCCCTGTATTATACTGTCTACATACGTGGCCAAAAGTAATTCTTATATAATCAGTGTAATCCGGAAACTAAGAATGGTCGATATTAAGAAGTTTTGGTATTTTATTTTGGCGATTTTTAAAATATAAATATATAGGCTGGGATGAGGCACAATTCGTTTTTATACACTTACAGTAATAAGTCACTCGAAAAATGACCATATTTATTTTGTATTTAATATTGTTTATTTAATTTGTACATTTTTTATTTTATTGTATGGTCCATTTGGCTTATTATAACTTTATTTATTTTCAGTTACACAAACAAGATCCGTCGGTATGTTTACGTTTACAAAATAATAATAAATAAAAATTCACACAATATTCGTAATTATTTTTGCAATTATAATATTATTTCTAACCCCAACTAAGTTGGATTTCTAACAGTAAACTAGTACAGTCGAAACCGAGCACAGTAAGATATTACAAAAGTGTGGTCCAGTATATGTAGCCTATCTACAGTTTCACGGCAAAGCTTTTTTTTTGGATGTGTTTTTATAGGAACTTTGCCACTATTGATTATATTATGTATTGTAGTATGTAAGATTCTAGAAATTAATCTACTATGCTGATTCCTAATTCTTTGATATGTATTAATTTTGTTCGATTAAAGAGAAACCAGAAATATACTATTCAGGTCGCAGTATGTAATCTTTTTTTTTATACAGTTTAATCAATATGAGTAATAATAAAACAAATGTCTGGTGTTTTTTTTCATTTAGAGGGATGTCTTCACGAATTAGGGAATAGATGTGTAAACGGCATTTATGTGACTTGTTTATGTCCTATCGTATATTGTATCTATTGTGTCAGAAAACAGCGAGGTCATAATGAGCAAGATCCTATTAGTAGATGTGTTTGTGGTGAAGATGAAGAGATTATAAAGTTGGTATATCTAGTTAATAATTAAATAATTGAATATCGTTATACCTTTGTTTTGAATAACTTTTTTTTAAAGGAAATGTAGTTTTAAGCTAATTAATCT